GCATGTGGGGGGCCACCCCTGTATCTTTTGGGCCAAAGGCAAGAAGCCACTGGGTGGGCCTGGTGCGGCACCCCCAGGCCGGCCCTCCCTCTCTTCCCTCAGTGGGCCCCCCCTTTGGCAGTGTGCTGTACGAGTTCGTGGGGAAGACGGCTCCGTTCCTGGTGCTGGCTGTCCTGGTGCTCGTGGATGGGGGTGAGTGAGTCCCCGTGGGGGGCTGGGCCCGGCGGACCTGGCGCGGGACCCAGGCTCAGGCCAGCTCTCCTCCCTCCCGCAGCCATTCAGCTCTTCGTGCTCCAGCCGTCCCAGCTGCAGCCAGAGGTGAGCAGCCGGAGAGGGGGCCAGGTGGTGGCCCCTCCGCCCTTCTCATCCCTGTTTTTCTCGACAGAGCCAGAAGGGGACCCCGATCACCACGCTGCTGAGGGACCCGTACATCCTCATTGCGGCAGGTGGGGCTCCCCCCACCCCTGCCCTGTTCTGTTGCCTCAAGGACAGGCAAGGTCATGGCACTGGGGGTTGGAAACACACTACAGATAATCATAGAAGATGGACAGGTTTTATGCCCCAAAACGTGGTTTTCCCGCCACTGGGTTCTGAGTCTCAGCCGGGTGCCTTTCTCGTTTTGTTTTTCCTTTGGGGCAAAGTTGTGGGGGGCGGGGAGATCTCGCAGGTGGAGATGCTTCCTTGGGGCTGAGCTTGCCCTGTGTGTGGCCCAGGCCTTCCCTGCAGGGGAGCGGGGTCCAGGCATTTCAGCGCCCTGTGTCCTGCCTGTATGGTCACAGAGGACGAGGAAACCATCAGAGAGCTGACCATGCAGGCAGGCAGTGTTCTCTGGACGGGGACCCCAGCAGGCGAGAGGTTCTGGGGGCCACGGCACAGGAAGCCCCGGAGCACGGGGGGCGGCTCCATGTGTCTCTGGCCGGGATGGCAGCAGTTCGCTGCACAGACACCTGAGACGTACAGTTGATTTTAAAAACCAAATCCCTTAGCAGCACCGTGTGCTGGAGGCAGTGTTAGAAATACACCCGGGCTGGGGCAGGAGCCTTGGGCCACCTGCATGGGGGTTGGGGGGGAGGTGGCTGGGGGGGCCCCCAGCCAGTGGCTTCATTAATGAATCAAACTCTCGCTCTTCGTCCTGAGAGCACCAAAGGCCTTCTCAGCTCCCTCTCGTTTCAGACTCGTTTCATGCCTCTGCGATCCTGCCTGTCTTTAGCAACAACAAAACCCAGTGGCCCTTACCAGCGTCTTCATTGTTATTTTTCTCTTAACACCAGCAGAAGTTGTGGGTGTCTTTGCTGATTGTTCTTCCTCTGGGCACATGCGTTGAGTTGTCTGGGAATGGTTGGGGACCTTGGGACCCTGAAGCACACCGACTCCCCTGTTCCTCTCCAGGGGCCATCTGCTTTGCAAACATGGGGATCGCCATGCTGGAGCCGGCCCTGCCCATCTGGATGATGGAGACCATGTGCTCCCGGAAGTGGCAGCTGGGTAAGGAGGGGGTGCTCTTTTATCCTCAAACTTCCCTCCGCAGGTGGATCCCCGTACTGTAACTCTGCTGAGCTGCTTGTGTAGATGATAAAGTGAGCGTTTCTGTTAGTGGTTGTTTCTGACTCTCAATAGGGTGAGTGCTCAGCGTGGCATGGGCTTTGGGATCTGTCTGGGCTCCAGTTTTTTTTTTTTCTTTTCAATTTATTTTGATTTATGCACGTAAGTGCTGGGCTGTAGGCCAGAGGTGCTGGGGTTGAGAGGATTCACCAGCGATAGAGTGGGGAGCAGAAATGGCAGATGGACCGACATGTACTGCCGAGGGGAGCAGTGGGCAGGTCAGGTGAGGTCTGGTGCGTCCTGTGGGTCAGCTCTCCGGCTGGGGATAGAACTCGGGCATTGCATTGAACCTGTGCTGGGGCTGCAGACAGTTTTGTAGTGCTGAGACTTAACCCCTGCGCCACCAGGGAGGCCTGTTTGGGCACCGGTTTTTGTGGCCTCGCCAGTGAGTATAGAATTACTATAGAGGCATCAACTCTGTGCAGGTACAAGAAAGAAAAACTACACCTAGCATCGCCTCAAGCCTCTGAGAATGACTAGTTATCTTAAATGTCTGGACAGCAACAGAATTCATATGAAAGAGACAGCAAACTCAGGTTTTGAAAGGATGAATTTCTTAAAGTATTTTTTTTTTAAAGATTTATTTATTTGTGCATACAGAACTGGGGTACAGGCCAGAGTTGCGGAGGGTGAGAGGATTCACCAGAGACGGAGTAGGGAGCAGAACAGGCAGATCATGGAAGTACACTGCTGAGGGGAGCAGCGAACTCATGCGGAAGTGGCTTTAGATTCTCAGTGCTGTGCTTTAACCCACTGCACCACCAGGGAGGGCCTCTTAAAGTATTTTTTACATAGTAAATACATGCTTATAAAAAATCAACACACAGATTGAGAAGGTAAAGAGCTTAACAACTTCCTGTTCAGGGAAAGCATCCATATGTGTTTTATTGATACACTTTGCTTTTCTTTGGAATAGGTTCTTGTGTGGATTCTAACTGTTCTGTGTATTAGGCTACAACTTCTTTGTCAGCTTCTTCACAAATGCTGTCCTGTCTCTGCAGTCTGTCTGGAGACTTGGGCGTTTTTTTCCTTTTTACCACTCAACATTTAACTACCTAGTGATTCAGCTGTCTCCCCCTTTATGGTATTTCACATCAAGTTCAGAAGGGTCTTGCCCAGCTAAGCTTTTTGTAATTCACCCTGTTTTCCTTGAATAGGTGTGTACTTTGCTTTGTACATTAAAATCTTGGATTTACACAGAGTTAGTTTTGCCATAAGTGTGCATAGGGATTTTGTGTGCACATGGTTCTGGTGTGCCCAGGGATCTGGTGTGCATGGGGTTCTGGTGTGCACAGGGTTCTGGTATGCACAGGGATCTGGTGTGCACGGGGTTCTGGTGTGCCCAGGGATCTGGTATGCACAGGGTTCTGGTGTGCACGGGGATCTGGTGTGTACATGGTTCTGGTGTGCCCAGGGTTCTGGTGTGCACATGGTTCTGGTGTGCCCAGGGTTCTGGTGTGCCCAGGGTTCTGGTGTGCACAGGGATCTGGCGTGCACAGGGATCTGGCGTGCACAGGGTTCTGGCCGGCCCGTTGTCCAGCCACAGCATTTCTGCTGCTGCACCACTGGGCTTTGCTCATCTTTGTCATTCTCAAATAACTGCATGTTCTTGGGCCTTTTTCTGGAATTTCCTGCTCCATGGGTCTGCCTGTCCTCCTGTGTTATTACCTTCTAATTTACTTCCTGTGGCTTTTGAAGATTGTTTAACATCTGGAAGGATAGTCTGTGTACAAACACCCCCTAATTCTTTCATTTTTATTTAAAAAAATTATTTTTTTGAGGTAGCACTGCTTTACGATGCTGTGTGTGGTCTAGGGTTGTCGGTTCACCTCTTCAGATGCCTGTTACCATGCCAGAGCCCCACCCAGGCCCCCACAACTGTCGGTCACAAACCCGTGCACCCCACCAACTTTGCTCCACACCCCATGCTCCCCGCCTGGGAGCTTCTGCTCTACATCAGATCTCTAGGGTTTGCCTTGGGTTAGTTTTGTCTCTCCCTTTGCTTTATTTCTTCAGATTCCATATGCGAAGCCACCTGGTATTTTCAGTCTCCGTCTGCCTTATTGCCTTAGCACCCTCCGCCCAGGCAGAAGTTCGTCTTCTTTTTATAATAGTTGATGGTCTTCCATTGTCACATGCCCTTGAAGACTTTATCTGTTATCCTTCCTTGAGATAATATTTCCTTTTCCTAGTTCTTTCACCCATGTGTCGCATCGC